AGTGTGCAAGCTCTAGAAATTACAGTCTAAACATAACAGCTCCGAAAAAGAGGAAATATATGAAAAATGCCCTAAAACTGTAAAATAGCTATAATTTTGTATTTATTCCCCTGGTCACACTTTACATTAGATGGCCTTATACTTAACCATTTGATACAATATACTTATGTACATACATTTGGGTGCATTGGAATTATATTTGAAGTACTTTTCACACTTATAGTCCACTGTTAACTTTACCCACAACTATAACCCGAACCCTTTTCCAAAACTTTAACCCATATAATCCTAACCTAACTCCTAATCCTAACTATACCCTAAAAGTATTAACAAAAATAGTGGAAAATTTCTAGAACAACACATAGTTACACAGTAAATCATAGTCTTAGTGTTTTTTTGTCTTAAGTATTTAATGTTAGTACATAGTAGTTAAGGCTACCTAATATAAATTCTGATCATTTTCCCCAAATATCTCATTTTTAAAAAGGTTTAATCCGATTAGTTGGCCATGCATGTGCAGAACCCAATGAAGCTTCACCACAGCTGCTTACATAGTAATTTAGTAAGTGTATAGCCCTGAGAAAGATCTGTGCAGCACTTACTCTTGACATCCTCCAATGATTCCAATGCGTCCGTCCTGACCCTTGTGTTTTTTGGACGTAAGTGGAGGAATTGTGTTTCTTAAAAGAGGAATGACATTGTCCATTGCCGCCGTTCCCAGAGAGAAAGAGCGCTCTATGACTGAGACAAGAATATAGTAACAATAATTAAATTCATCCCAAACCAGACCATCTTATTTCAGTTCCATGCATTGGGATTAGACTAGTAATTTTAAAAGGTTTGTACTTAAAAAAACAAAACAAAATGTCATCATTTTCACATAATTTACTTATGTCAATTCAAATTTTGTGATGAGAGAATATTTTTGAAAATCTTTTCAGTTCTTTTCCATCCAACTGTTCATATAGTTAGAAAATCTGTGAAGCTCCATAAGGCCTAAAACCTTCATTTTGGGCTCCATAAGGCCCAAAAGAATGATAAGCCCATACAACTTGAGCTCTATATCGGAGTCTTCTGAAGCCATTTGAGCTTGAAATTCAGGCTTTTATTCACCAAAAATCTGTCTCTTTGCTGTAGCTCCGAATTCTCACTTCCCATTTTACAGAATCAATCTTTTAGCACCAATGACATCAAACCTGCTACTATTTTGAAGTCTGAATGTAAACACAAACTGTATTTCAGAGCTTAAGCACTAGGGAGGATTATCAGTGAATAATGACTAAAATATTAGTTTATTCCACATAAAGCTATAATTTTGCTTTATAAGATTTGGAATATGGCTGTACGGACCCCTTTTATGGTTTTGGAGCCTTTTCGGTCACGATATAGCATTGCCATTGTATGTAAAATAGATCAGTGTACATTGAGTTCATTCCCTTTTTAATGTAATATTAAGAGGAGGAAAAAGCAGAAAACAATGCCTTTTTCACTTATTAAAAAATAACTGACTTGATTTTTCATTATGTGAAGAGGTCGAATATACATAAATACCTTGAATATTCGGGTAATATTAGGTCAAAGCATTTCTTAGTCCAGTTGTTTGATGAGAGAAAGAGACAAAATGTAGTTGCAATAAACACTTTAAAAATCTGTACAACTACAGCAGTGTGTGATTATTATTCTGTTGGAGCACACTCATCTTTGGTTGACCAATCAGCAGAAAGGGGGCGTGTCATGCCTGGACACATATTGAAATCTAATAATCAAGATGTGTATCTAAATTTTTCTGCTTTAAATATTTAATAAAGAATCTTTCCTGCAGCTCAAACAGTAGAGTGTGGTGCTAGCAATGCCAAGCAAGGTCCTGGGTTTGATTCTCAGAGATTCCCAAGCGCTAGTAAAAATGTAAAGGTGTTCTTCAAATGCGATTTGAGTCATTTTGGATAAAAATGTCTGCCCAATGCATAAATGTAAATCAAAAAACGAATGAACCCAATGTACAAGGACCAAAATACCTACTTCAAAATTATTTCAAATCTCTCTGTGTTCCACCAAAATAATGATAATAATAATAACACCAGAATTTCCATATTTGGGAGAACTATTCTTTTTCATGGGACTTTAGCAGTAAAACACTGTGTTTATCACCGCTTTATGACTGTGTAACAAATGGTAATTCAAAATAAATGGCAACTCTACACGAACATTGAGCGTCACCCTCTTCCATGAGCAGACCTGGGCCAGCTGGTTGGCTGTGGCTGGCAAACTCGGTCAAGGCAGGGGGATGGTTACCATTCCCAAAAGGGGGGCGTGTGGGGGGTACGGCGGGGTTAGTCTGAGGGATACAAGAGGGCTGCGGAGTGGCCTGTGGTGCAGGAGAGGGTGCGCGAATGCCAGCGAAAATCTGGCCCAACATCTGTAGCATCTGCAGCTCTCTGGAATGTTCCTCCTCCCTGCGCTTATCCTCGGCCTGAAGACGCTGCTCCTCGAGCCTGTAGAAGTTGTCTTCTGCTTCCATGCTCTGTTCCAAGAACTTCTCCATCAGCTTCTCCAGCGACATGTTCGCGAAGCGCTTCTTGCTTCTCCGTGGCCTGCTGGACGAGGTTGCCGGCGGGTTGGTCTTCGTCAGGCTGCTCTGTTTGGTTGGAAACGAACCTTTGAGAGAAGAACGCACGAATATTAACACGCACACACACACATACAAGAAACCAGACCGATTAGGCTAAAGATGGCAGATCATTGCTTTCTGACGGATCAGAATAAGTTGACATACTCATGCCTCCCACGGTCACCGGAATGGGGCAGGATGGGTACTCAGTTTTGACCGGATGCTCCATAAAGGAGCATTCACCACTGCCATCCATGTGAGCCTCCTGCAAGAGTTCAGTACTCTCAGCATCTTCATCCATTGTTTCATCTCCCCCAACAGCAACACTATCAATATCCTGGCTCTCTACTAAGGACCGATTGCTCAATATCCTCTCCATCTCGTCGTAGAACTTGCACATCTTGTGGTACTGCCCATTTTTCCTGGATCCCTCCTTCGCTTGGAAATACTGCCTCTTTAAGCTCTTAACCCGTATTCTGCATTGGTCTGGTGTCCTATCGAAGCCCAGTTCGCACAGACGGTTCGCGACGTCTCGGTAAACGTGGCTGTTCCTAAAGTTTCCGTCCAGCGCCGTCTGCACGTCGTGCTCACCCCAGATATTCAACAGCGCTCTGGTCTCCATGTCCGACCACAGGAAACCGCGCGTTGCATTCACTAACATGATGGTCGAAGCAATCCAAGTCGGCTTCGCATCGATCAGGCGGCGGGATATCTAGGCCTCGTTTCGACGACGCTTCATGCGGTTTCCGAGCGCATAGCGACAAAAGGCCTCGCCGAATCGCCGAGATTAACTGAGCTGAGCTGCTTTATGCAAAGCTGCTTAGAACTTCGCCAGTGTTTACCGCGCCAACAACAGTGAGAACGTCACCGCGATGTTGTGTACTACGTCATCACAACCGTGCGCAGTGCTTCACGGCTCGGCGATAAAAACAGTCAAATAGCTTTGAGAATATCACCAAGAATACATTTAGGAAACAACTGCTTCACTTTGTAAACTCAGCTTATCGTGCTCAGTGTTTGGAATTGCGAGTTACGCTTGAGAGTTCGAGTCAAAGCACAAAACTGATAAATAAATTACAAAACACAGTGCGGTCCGTAACTTCCAGTGTGAGAACATGCAATTCAGTTTAATACTGACAATACGCTGTTTGGAGTTTAAACAATCTTAAATGAATAAAACCTATATAAGATGCTTAATGATGTCAAATAAACACATTAGTGACACGTGAATACCTTTGTTACCCCAATCATACTGGATCACACAAACGACAAGAGTTCACTTAAAATGTTACGCTTATACTTTAATTACATAAAAAATGCACTCAGTTAAAGAAGTTTGGAAGCATTTGGACCCCACTGTGTGTATATCATGATTCATGTGGCACTCGACTCTGCATTTACCTTTATCATACAGCAACACTGCTGCAATTGTAATGGTTACAGTTATCACGCCGAGAAGAGAACATTTCAGTCCATGCATTCCGTCCTTCTCAACCTGCTTATAGTTAGATAAACTCCGATCTTACCAAGTGCCAGACTTAGTGGCCGTTCAGAGAAAATGAAGGTAGCACGTTTGAGAAGATTCATCAAGTTCTCGGGTAAACAAACACTGTTCAGGAGGAGAGTAAAAGCTGCGGGGATTAGCTGCAGTATCCAGTCAGATAATAGGAACAAAGTTCAAGATTTAATTTTGATTATAGATCTGTGTTACACGACTTCACTCGATCAGAATTGTCCTCCCTCTATAATCATCAGACTTCCGCTGACGCTCTGCTTTGTCGCTTATGCGTGATGACATAAGCGAAATTCAGTCCATATTTGACAGGAAATAAACCCAGGCCAATGCTACTCACTGTAGCGAAGACTGGTTACTTACAATGCCATTAAAAAAGGCAATATTATATATATTTATTTAGCCCCGCCTTTACTGTTTATTCCTGTGACGTTGGCACTCAAGTTAAATTTGCCCCGCCCACCACCGTAGGATAAGAAGTCTGATTCATTTCTGCGAATCGGTTCTTTTGAACAGTTCACTTCAAAGAACAGGTTACACAAGTGATTCAGTGATTTCTTACAGTCATCACGTCATTGTATGATCTCTGACATCTCAACTTACTTTAAAAAGTTCAAATAAACCTTTTAAAATATAAGTTTTATTAATAAGCATATTTATTGTATTCCCGGGTGTCCCAGTTGCAGTCATCATTCAACTGATAAATAAATAAATAAATAAAGTCATAACTATAATATTTACATTCAACAATAATACAATTCATTTAAAAACCACGCTCTATTGGCTTTTGGCTCAGAAATCGCTCAGAGGGATTAAGTCCTTGACCGAATCTTTCAGAACGGTTTTGTTCTAATAATTCATAGAAAAGATTTGACTCGAAAGAACGATTCATTGACGAATCGGACAGCACTACTGTTAAACCTGACTTGAAACTTCTGTAGTTAGAAAATCGGCGTCGTCACCAACTATATTAGGGAACAATTGCTATTGAATTTTCTAACACACACACACGAATGGGGTTTATTTCGACAAACTTTGTACGGAGATCGTCAGACTGGAGGTAATCATGCATTTAAAGCGCGGAGACCGATAAGTTAGCTGGATTGTTTATATGGCGATTTTACCTGTAAGAGTTGAGTTTGCGTGAGTGGCATGTGTTTGGAGACATGTCTCAAGCCTCAAGGACCAAGAAACCCGACGTGAAAGTCGTCATTCTGGGGGACATGAACGTGGGAAAGACTTCTCTCCTCCACAGATACACGGAGAGGAAATTTAAGGACACTATAAGCACAGTCGGAGGGGCGTTCTTCCTCAAACAGTGGGGACCCTACAACATTTCTATATGGGACACTGCAGGTGAGCTACTTTTACACTTTATTTAGTAAAACAGACTACAAAATACAACAACAGGTTATTACAGTGTGTTTTGCAAAAGCTGTATGTAAAGAATATAAAGTCAGCCGATCTTATAACTAAATCAACAATGTTATAGGCTATGTCAGATAAAAGTTGATAACATATCTGTTTTATAATTCTTTTTGTGTGTTTCCTAAATTCCCTGCTTCATATTTGTTGGTATTTGTTTTATTCTGATTTATAGTCAAGAACTTCTTTCTCACAGTGATTATTTTTTTATGTTGTGAATGTCAGCACTTTTTGTTCCTTATTCAGATGGTATATTTAAACATGAACGTGGGAAAGACTTCTCTCCTCCACAGATACACGGAGAGGAAATTTAAGGACACTATAAGCACAGTCGGAGGGGCGTTCTTCCTCAAACAGTGGGGACCCTACAACATTTCTATATGGGACACTGCAGGTGAGCTACTTTTACACTTTATTTAGTAAAACAGACCACAAAATACAACAACAGGTTATTACAGTGTGTTTTGCAAAAGCTGTATGTAAAGAATATCAAGTCAGCCGATCTTATAACTAAATCAACAATGTTATAGGCTATGTCAGATAAAAGTTGTTCTTTTTGTGTTTCCTAAATTCCCTGCTTCATATTTGTTGGTATTTGTTTTATTCTGATTTATAGTCAAGAACTTCTTTCTCACAGTGATTATTTTTTTATGTTGTGAATGTCAGCACTTTTTGTTCCTTATTCAGATGGTACATTTAAGAACTGGCCCTGTCATGGTTGAGGTTCACAGAACTCGACCTACTTCAAAATATGCAGAATTTTTAAATATATATTTTAAAATGGCATATGGATGCAGTGAGTTTCATTTAATCTGCACATTTCACCTTCCTTTTATGTCAATGAGTAAACCTGAAGATAAATGCTTTTGGTCAATGTTTGAAAACTTCACCCATTAAAGGCAATTATTTAACAAGCCTTTTGTACTCTTGTATAATAATAAAACAAAGTCAAATGACAGGAATTAGCAATGTATATATTATAGATAGGTAGAAATATATTATACTATCTATCTATCTATCTATCTAATGTAAAAAGGATGTTCTTTCTCAGTCATTTCCTGTGAAATGTTATTCCGTTCAGATGACAGATGACCCTGTGTAGAGCTGTTTGCTGTCTTTACAGGCAAAAAGTCACATGCTTGTGTGCAAGTCAGATGAGTGTGTGTTGAATCTGTGTGTGGGTGTGTGGAAACTGAAGGTTTTACTGGTCACTCACACAGTTGTTTCTCAGGGGTGGGGGTCTAGGAGGGATGTTCACAGTTAAATTAAGATGTTATGAAGCTTTTTGTTCTCGATTTCGAATGTGATCCTCTTTGGGTTTAGTGGAAAAACCTGAATTACCAAGAAAGAAGTACTGAGCATGCAGTGTCATCATATGAGCAAAATGACATGTCAAAGTTCCATTCATTTTTTGTTTGTTCATTTTCATTTTCATGTTCCACTATGCCTTTAACCCTATAAAGCCCACTGTATTACATTTCTAAGGCCCCTCTAAATTATCAACATGATCAAAACTTCTACATGCCTTCTGCCCTCTCATTGATAGTTTTTTAGCAATAAAACGACTAGTATAATCTTAAAATTCCCCCTTCAGGTCATAATACACATGCCTTTTTGCTGTGAAATCTCGAATGAATTTTATAATGTTAGAATATTGTTAACGTTTATATTGTTATTAATCTTTCAAGATGAACATTTTCTGGACTGAAGAAACATAGGTTTACTTGATTATACAGTACGTAATTTTTTAGGAAAATAATAATGTATGTGTAAATATAATGTTTGTGGGTAGTTGACAAATAGGCAGTAAAAAATGCTTTTTTTGTAAAACACCATTTTTGAAGAAGAAATACGTATATTTATGTAGTGTGAAGTCTGACGTTTGAGAAAATATAAAGGGTCACTTCATCTTCGTCAATTCTTTCACTGTTTTTTTTTTTTTTACATTTTTACTGAACCATACATTTGTCCTATGGTGTGACATAGCCACAAAAAATAAACTCTTAATAGTACATAAATACCAAGAGAGAGATTTATCTTCATTGTCAGACACTTCGATTCCATTTCAATTTATCGTGCAGCCCTAATTCTTATTATATTATATAATTTTTTTTAAGTATATGGCTGCTCTTTTTAAAGAGATAGTTCACCCAAAATGAAAATTCTGTCATTAATTACTCAGCCTCATGTCGTTCCAAGACCACAAATTAAGATATTTTTGATTAAATCCAAGAGCTTTCTTACCCTGCATAGACAGCAACGCAACTGAAATGTTCCCAGACCCAGAAACGTAGCAAGGATATCGTTAAAATAATCCATGTGTAGTGTGAAGTCTGACGTTTGAGAAAATATAAAGGGTCACTTCATCTTCGTCAATTCTTTCACTGTTTTTTTTTTTTTACTTTTTTACTGAACTGTACAGTAAATTTGTCCTATGGTGTGACATAGCAAAACTTAAAAAAAACTTTTAATAATATACAAATAGCATGAGAGAGATTAATCTTAATTGCAAGACACTAATTTTCATATAGTGTTATTTATTTCATATGAAATTATGAATAACACCATTTTTTCCCCATGACTTGTTGGGCATTTTCAAGACTAACTTTGACAACAAGACAAACTTTGCTGTCATCCATTCAAAACTGCAGAAAATTATACCATTTTAAGATGAATGATGATTATATCTCCCCTACTGCAATACTCAACTGTTTTTTAAAGATATTTCGAGATTAAAAAAACAAATCTGTGGTTCTTTTATGTGTGTCACACCAAAGGACATTACGTCACACTAAAGGACCGAAATGGTAGTTATTCCTTTAAAGAGAAGGTGAGAAGTATTACATTAAAGTATTTCTATTTAACTTTGAAAATGTGAAAGGAGAAAGAAAGTTTAATTTTAATACAAACAATATCAACATGTTGTTTTTAAACAAAACAAAATAATTTTCATCAACAAAATTCAGTCACTTAGTCAATCAGTATGTTACTGAAACCCTTCTAGAGCCTCCGCGCTGCATGTGCGGCACAGCTAAATATGATTGATATTCAAACTATATTCTTATTAGGGCTGCACGATTAATCGAATGCGATTGTACTTTGAATTCTTCAGAAAGATCTGCAGAGCAGCAGGTGCTACATGAACTTTCACCCATTTTATTCTTATCATTAGTTCATCTGGTGATGTGTAATGATAGTAAAGCTTACTTCCTCCGTAGTAGCTCACCATGTCTGAGTGGCTGTTGTTGGTGTTCCTGTAGCTCAGACAGTACAGCATGCTGCTAGCAACACAAGTTTATGGGTTTGAATTGCAGGGAATTCATGAAAGATAAAACGTATGCCTTGAATATGTTATAATACCTTTGGATAAAAGCATCTGCGAAATGTATTTATCTTTCTGACGTCACAAAGTCTCAAACAAACCACTTTTTAGTTTCACCGGAGAAGGAGTTTTGAGTTGCTAAAGTTACATTGTTAATTTGTTTATGTACAATGAAGATTTTAATGTCAGTGGGTAATGTAAACTGAATTCCTTAATTTGATCCTTTGAACTTTTTTTGATTATATGCAAGTATTGTAAAATTAAAATGAGCCTTTAAGTACTCATTTTTATGAGGCACAAATGAAGAGAGCTATGTTTCTCTCTCATCGTTCAGACACAGACAGCAGAAGCCAAGTTAGTTGAAGACCACTACATATTTCTACAACAATGAACTCTTGTATTTCTGCTGTTACAGCTCTCAGTATCATGACCAACAACCTTTGGCTTTCTTTTTAAAGGAGAAAGTGAAAGAAGGTTTGTTTTCAGTATTTAACTCTTTCTTTCGTTTATTCAGTCGATTTGGCCTCTCAGAACTATTCAGGTTACTTGTGTTTAATTCTATTGAGTGAATCACCATCAGCAGGGCTGTAGCAAGTACAGTAAAATGAACTTTTCTCATTGAAGTAACCTTAATGCACAAAATATTGTACAGTCAGCAGGTTTTGCTAATGTTTAATAATTTTTACTTGGCAAGTCTCAAATGCACACCAAGTTTAGTCAAACTGAAACTAATATCCTTAAAACTGTTAGTGTGTGTGTGTGTATATATATAGTGGTGGCCAAAATTGTCAGAACACTTGGCATATTTAAGAGGTTTCAGTTGTTTTTGTTGAATTGGCCATTACAATACCCATAAAACGACCTATTGCCAGAAGCACCTGCGACAGAAGGAATCTGCTGGAACGCTGAAAACGATGGACTGAGCCCCTCAAAGTCCGGATCTCAACCCCATCAAGCAAATTTGGGGCGAGTTGGAAAATAAACTGGACAGATCTATTGTACATTCAAAGGAAAGCCTTTGGCTTGAGCTGCAGAAGGCATGGGATAGCATTAGTGTTGAAGTTCTCAGGAAATATCTTGACACTATGCCAGAGAGATGTGCTGTAATTGCTGCAATAGGTGGACATACCAAATATTAAAGTTAAAAGTGGATAAAAACAGTACG